CGCAAACTTCTTAAGTATAACACTCCATTGATGAGCCAAGGGATTACCCTCAAACGAGCCTTGCTTTGTGAAGAGATGCTGAGATGTGGCCTCTTGGCGTTGACATGGGAACATGTGTTACAGCATTTGGTCTGGAAAAGGCTGTGGTTGATCGCGCCCGTGCACAGCCACTTGTAAGAACTGGTGCTTTAACTCCATTGGCAACGAGACGGCCACACATTCTGAGTTGAACCCCTGAGCACGTAGACAGCAACAAGGTTGCCTGAGTGAGCAGATGTGAAAGGACAAGGCCACCATGCAGTCTTGTGTTTGTACGAGAACCGAGTCAGTCAGACAGTGACACATGTGCCCTTACATTTGTCAGCCAGTAAGGGCACATGTGTCACTGTCTGACTGGCTCGGTTCTCGTACAATCACAAGACTGCATGGTGGCCTTGTCCTTTCACATCTGCTCACTCAGGCAACCTTGTTGCTGTCTACGTGCTTAGGGGTTCAACTCAACATGTTGCCAAGAAGAACTGTAGCAGCGCAACTTGTCTGTGGGGAGGGAAAGTGGCCGTCACGTTGACAATGGAGTTAAAGCACCTGTTCTTACATGACTCCGTGGCTGTGCACAGGCGCGGTTTCTCGGCCACACGGCGGTTAGAGGCTTACTTGCTTCGCTCACAGCTTCTCAGGTTGTCAATCTCTGCACTTCATGTAGAGGTACATATCGTCGCCTTCGAGCCCTCTTTCAGGGGGAGAGTTGCTTGGGCTGATGCGCCATGGCAGATTCAAGAGCCCCAGCCCAAGTCGCCTCAATCCAGTTATCCAATGGCCCTTCCACATGGAACAGCCAGCCGCTGAAGCATCCCGTGCAAATCATGGCCGGAATCGGACAAGTGAGTGCGACACTTCATGTATTTGGTCAGGCAGCTCACGGCTCAAGGCTGAAAGCTTAAGGCCTCTTGCCCACAAGAAAGCATCGACCGTGGAGAACTTCAAAGCCACGTCTAAGGCTTCCTGGTGCACCCCGGGCTCGCCTTCATCCTTCAGCGGGGCCTTTGCAGAGAGAGCCGCCCCTGGCGTGGACGAAACTGTACCGGGATGCCCGGAACTCCGAACACCCACCAACCGGACCTGCATCCCACTGTGCACAGGAAAATTCTGGACGTTGCTTCCTGAAGCTCATGAACAACAGGGATCCGGATGCATTATACCTGAACATTGCAACTTGTAATTAAATGGTGGTTTCCCCTTTGTTTTGGCGGAAAAAGCCACATGTTTCAACTGGTTGCAAAATGGCTGTGGCTACAAAAACCGGAATTCCAAAATGGCTTGCCCTAAGTGGCAACATGGACCAAGACCTGCGTATCTTTTTTTCGGAGCCCTGGCAAACCGGGGAGAGGTTTGAAGTCCTTGAGGCGGCAGGCTTGCGAGCGACCCGTGCAACGCGAATGGACGTGGCCAAATCAAAGAGAAAGCAGGGGATCTACTAGGAGCTGGACGCCATTGGAAGCAGAAAAGAGGCACAAAGAAGGAGGGAAAAAGAGAGAGAGAGAGAGAAAGAAAGAAAGAAAGAAAGAAAGAAAGAAGGACAATCGGTCTGCCCTGGTTGGCGCGCCTGGGCCTGCCCGCTGCATGAAGAAAGCAAACAGCCTTAACCTCTGAATAAGCAACCCCCATCCAGTCGCATCAAAAGCAAAGTAAGCACCCCCTGCCACAAATTCGGTGCGCGCCTTTTGCGCTGAGCACCCCACCCCCATCCCCGCCATCCGGCCGCCTGTCACGGTGAAGCGACCCGGTGCAGCAGCAGGGGCCTTCTCCTGTAAGGCGACCAGCTCCTTGGCGAATTTTGGCGCATCTCACCCCGTCAGCGGATCAGGCTGCAAGGCGACTTGGGGCATGTGGGACTCTGAAAATCAGAAAAAAGTTGGCCAGGCTTGCAAACCACTTCACAATTCCAAGGTGCCTACATGTGCCATCCTGGGATCTTGGTTCGATTCCTGGAGGTTGGAGGTGCTTATGGCTGGGATGTGTCCAAGGAAGCGGGCAAGCGAAAGCCCCGGGCATCTTACCTCATGGTTCCACAAGTTTCCCGAGGTTCTTTAGGCAGCCTGGGGAAAAGCCCGTGGCAATTTTGGGTGGTGCCAACGGGCAATGCAAAATTGTACATTGTTGCAAGCGCTTACGAGGCAGCACCGTCGAGCCCAGGCTAACCTTCCAGGTGCGAATCGTGTTTCCAACACAAAGGCGTACAGCTATATGGCCATGGGTCAAAATTCCGTACATCCCAATCCCCACTAAAATAGACTAAAATGGGTGGTTCGCCTACCCCAAAATGGTACCATTGCTTTTGAACCATGGCCATATCCCATCAACAGTGGTACGAACTAGCACGTGCCATGTGCTGCTTGCTTCCGAAGCTTCAAGCGCCCAAGCACTGGCCTTTACGTCAAACACCAAGCACGGTTCCCCAAAATTCGGCACAGAGGTTGCACTGCTATCATGGCTTTGGTGAAGTTGATGCTCGCTGAGAGAAACCCCCAAGTGCTGGAACTGTGCATGGCTTCTAAACTTGCAAATTTACGGGGAATCGCGATCAAGGTCCGGCTGGAGTGCCCGTCATCTCAGCGGCTCGGGCCGCAACTCCATTTGTAGCTAAAGGTTAGAGACTCTTCCTGCCTAGCAAGAAACCTTCATCACAGTCGCACTTTGACGTCCACACTTAAGCAGAATTGCTTTCGCAACACTCAGTGGCCAGCAGATTCATTGATCAAACACTACTCCGCAATCCCCGCAACGAGTGCCATGCAAGTTGAATCATGGCCAGCCTCAACAAGACTTCAAGTGCACGCAACAAGTTCTGCGGGCAGTTGCGCCGAAATGAAGCAGTCTCTCCACCCGCCTATTCACAAATAACATGGCCATGAACAAATGCTTGTCGTTGTTCGGGCCACTCCAAAGCGACGGCTGGTAACGCTCGTGGGCATGTTGCTTGACGCGATTTGGACACCTAGCCGCTCTCACGCAATAATGCTCATAGGACCCGGTCTTAAATAGAGGGTCAAGAAACAATTGGCGCACACCCATACCCTTTGTGCTAAACCAATGATTAGTTTCCCATTAGCACCCGGTCCTCCTGATCACGCTTTGTTTGAAGCTCCATTTCCTCCACGTCTTGCTGCAACTTCTCAGCTTCTTTTCCTCGTTTCAGGGACAAAATCTGTACACGTCCAATGAAGCCTTACATGTCCCCAAAGAGATTGGAAGGGCTTGGCAGCCACTGGCCGGGTCTTCATGTCTCCTTCCCAGTGAAAGGCACGGCTGAACAGTTTGAAATGACCCGGGTCGTATTCCGTAGAGGCTCAACCGCTGCCAGCATTTGAATATGAAAGGTCTGCCTGTGGCCAGACTTAAAATGAGCCAAAGCTTGGAAATGCCACAAAACAGCTTTGGAACTTCTGGAACTTCTGGGTAGCAAGCGCCGACGTGTATACAGCATATTACCCTGAATTAAGAGCTGCTCCTTCAAAAGAGCTTCCTTATGGGGTAAGATTATGTCACCACCGTCTGGTCGGGAACTGGAATGTTCAAAAATGGGGAGTATCCCATCCAACCGTACTTCTAGTCCGTGATGAGAGGATAAACATCACTGCTTGGCATCAGGTTTTCAGCACATCCTGACCAACCCAGCAATTACTCAGGGTTGCTGCCTCGGGTGCTGTAGCTCCACCAGCAAAATGTTTAACTTTTTGCAGGTTGCCAGGAAATATGAGGGGTATCCAAAAAGTTAAAGTCTAAAGATCCAACCCAATAGCAGTAGAGCTGCTGCAGGGCGTCCAAGGGTTTCCCACAAAGCCAGCTAAACCTCCGAGCCACGCTCTTGCAGGAGCTGCTTGAAGCTGATTGCCACCTCCCTCGTGTCATCTTGCTCCCTGAGCGAAAAGAATGAAGCGACCAGAGCGATGCGTGGCGTCTCCAAAAGGAATCCACGGAGCTGTCCTGTTGGTTGAAAAAGAGCAAGAATAATCAAGAACACATGCACCTGTAGGCTTGGCGGCATCACAAGCTCGTGATTTCCCACCCCAAGTTGGTACCTTCAGAAATCACGCACGCCTCCAAATTGGGAACCTGGTGTATGGTTCAGGGAGCCTCCCTGGCACGTGCCTGATGGATGTTTTCTCGCACTGAAAAGAAGCCAAGCTAGGCAACTGCCGGCTGGTTGCGTGAAAAAAGCCCTGCCCCCTGGTTTCAATGTGATTCACTCAGGCCCTCCCGCCCTCCCGCAGCCCCAACCCGGGCCAAGTTCTCCAGCAGCAATCTGCAGCCGATAGTCGAAGCATGCAATAAGACTGTGTATATGGCACACATATTGTTCAGTCGCTTCCGGTTAAGGGCATGCCCCAGATCTTCAAGGCTGCATGTCGCACAGCGTCTCCAAAACCTGAGACGAACCGGAGGTGCGAGACATGGAATCTACGTTGGCCCGTCAAAGGTCTCGTTGAACAATGATGGATTCGCCGGTTTCAGTTTGGCTCTGATCCATTACCTGCCTGTTCTTCTTCTTAAAAAAAAAAAAAAAGAAAAAGGAGAAACAAAAAACACGAGCCCTGCACAAAGGCCAAAGCTGCACGCGAAGGGCATGGCCTGGTCAACTCTTCCTCCCTCTCCTTGCACAGCTCCTCTGCTGTGGCGTGCTCCGCCTGGCTCGCGCCTATGTTACGCCAGGCCCCTCCAGGACCAGGGGGGCGCGACCGAAGACCCATGACGGTTCCAGCTGTCCAATTTGGCCTTGGAAGTGGCTGTGGGTCCAAATTATGTACCTAAAATGGCCTGGTCTGCCAAATGGAACCAAGCACTAAACCTGCGGTCCCCCGGTTGTGCAAAATGTTGACCCATACCCAAGTGTGCAAACTGCTATTCCAGTGCTTAGAGGCACAACCCATCCAACCGTAAATCAAGGTGCTGACTCTAAACGATAGATCAGAGCGACCGCGAAATTTGAGGCTGTACAAGGGGACAGCAGAACTACAGTGTTAGAGTGTCCTGCGCAACCCTTCAAGAACCTGCATCCGGACAATAAGTCTCGCACGACTTACGCCAAGCACACGCTTTGGCAAATCAAGCAAAGGCTATGCTGCGCAACGCAGCAGTTTTGTGGCAGTGAAACCGTACCTGCACGGCTCGCGGCAAACTGTACACTCTACAGAATTCCGTCCGCTGGACCCACTTAGGTGAGATGCCGTCGGATGCTCGCCGAAAACTTGCGCTGGAAAAAGGCACATCCATTCTCTTCTGGGGCCCTCTTTGTCATCTTGGCAAGGCATCGGGCCTGCTCGTCGCCTGCAAGTCGTAGGGCTCCGCAGCCCATACGGGCACTGCGCGAGCGCCGAAAAATGCGCCAGCCAGAGTTCCCAAGCTCACCAGAATGAAAACCAAGGGCGCACCAGCCCTCAAGGCGACTTCCGGGCTGAAGATCGAGGCAAGCAGCCCATTCAACACACTGTCAGGAGTCTTGGCTGAATTGATGGACCATGCAAAGACAACTGTACCCACTGCGGGACCAAGCGCTTTGAAGGTTGACGCCAGGCTCATTGCAAGACCGTTGATTCTGCAACGGCCATAGGTCGGGACGCAGTTGTTGATCAACACAAACACCCCAGTGAACGTCAGATAATCCGAGAAACCACGACAAATCATCACAGCCGTAAGGCCTCCCTTCTGCCAGGACATAGACAGCCCTTGGGCTTGCATCGCAAACGGCACCATGGGCATCAGTAAAGCGAATACACCTGACAAGTACATGCCGGCTTGAAATGAGCGAACCAAACCCATTCTCTCCACGAGAGCTGGGCCCAACGTCAGCTGAAATAGGAGACCTGATCCGCCAACGGCTGTGAACACGGCACCGATATCTGAAGTGGAGCCACCTAAGCCACCAGCATGATCGGGCGTCATGACTAACAGTGAGGCAAGCTCTTGCAAGGTTGATTGCATCATGGATACAAAGCAGTACAAGAACAGTAGTAGCGCACAGTTTGGCAGTCGAACAAGGTTCCACCCACACCCATCAGGTTCTTCATTAGCTGCCAGTACATCTTCACGATCTGGCACTGTGTCAGTCGGGCTTGGTGACGCCGGTTCTGAATCTGCAGCAGCCTTTGCATCGCATGTGTCCTCGACCTCAGGCTCCTCCAGTCGGTCGTAGCGCTTTCTATCTCGCGAGGGCATGGCTTTCCCGAGCACCGCCACCGGCGGCTTCGCTCTTGGGCTCTGAGGCAAAGCCTTGCGCGCAGCAGGGCGCAGGATGGAGAGCAGCGGCAATATGCCGGAGAGCTGAAGCAAACCGCAGAAAAGCGTTGGCAGAAGGAAAGGTCTCGTGCACATCAGGCCCCTTTCCTCTTGCCCAAGTGGATGTTCATGGCCACAAGGGTAAGCCAAGTACCCGCTGAGCGCCGGTCCGACTATGAGGCCGAACTGCCACTGAGCCGTGAGCATGCTCATGGCCCGGTGTTGCTGGTGGTGAGGCACCAGGTTGGGCATAAGGCCTTTCAAAAGCGCCACGATGGGATTTGCAAGGCCGGTGGCGATGCGCAAAGCCACTGCCGCCCAGTAGGTTTCGACCAAGCCCACGAGGATGGTGCCTTACTTGGCCATATTATTTGTTTGGCAGAGTTCAATCGGAACCTCCCTCAAACCTCGAGAAAAGGACGCGCCATTGCAGCGGAGGGTGCCGAGGGATGAGGCCAACGTGCAAAAGAGCAGCACCCGCACCACCCCGTGGCGATCTGCCACCAGGCCGCACGGCGCAGCGCTCAGGGTGCGGCCGATCATGAAGCAGGAGGCCAGGAAGCCTGGCTGCATGTGTTCAGATCGGTTGTGTTTAACCACCAGCTTCCGGACCCCTGGGAAACCAAATGGGGCTGGCACAAACAACAGTGGCTGAAACGAGCCTTTCAAAGGCTTCTCCCACATCTGGGGCGCGCGGAAATCATGTTCTCTGCTTCTGTTTCAGATTTCGTCCCTACATCTGAAAAACTCATGTTGGAGCAGACCGCCTGCCATGTATCCCGCGTCTTCTTTCCGCTCCGCGACGCCGAACTCGAGGACCATGAAGCCCACCAGAGGAAACAGCACCGGCACCGTGAGCACCGAACTGAAGGCCACATAGGCGGCAGCCAGAGAGGCCACGTTGGGGAAAGGCCCACAGCTATCACCGTCATTGCCACATGGCCGCGTCATCGAAAGACAAAATTCTGGGGTTGTGGAGGTCACCTTAACCCCCTAGTCAGTAAAAAGCGGAACGTGAGCAATGAGTTGGCCCCTTGTGTTAGCTACAAAACCTGAAAGCCTTTGAGCCAGCGAAAGGAAAAAGCGCCAGGAAGTCATGGCCTCTTGGGTAGTGCCACACACATTGTTTTAACCATACGTAGCTATATATATATATATGATAGTTTTCTTGATGCCCCTTTCCTAATTCCCGCCCAGTTCTTCTTGGGAACGCATTGACAAAGCGCAGGGCTGCTTCTTTTATCTGGACCCTTTTGAAAGACTATGTTCCTGTTGGACAGGGTTGTACTTCCACATCTATCCATCTGCCTCCTCAAAATTCTGGAAAGAAAACGGAACGCTTTCAGGCTGTTCCTTCTGGCGGGAGGACCAGCGGGATCACAAAATAACACCACGGGGCTGCTCGTGCGTTCCACTTGGAGTCAGGCTTTGGCGTTGGGCCCCCCAAGCAAGGTTCGCAGGAAGCACCCCCAAGATTGGCCCTGGGTGTGTTGGTGGAGAGTGTTGGTACTCCAATGTCCTTCCAAATTTGCCAAGCGCTGCCCAACCAAGACATCAAATACTTGAGAGTTGGGCGGAATGAAAGCTGGCAACATTTGAAAGAAGTGCGAACGCTGCCCTTTCGCCAGCCAGCTTTGAGCGAACCAGCTACGTCGAAATGACAAATTTAAGCAAACGGTAAAGCATGCGTCCGGCAAGATATCACGGCAGGTGGTGGCAAGCCAGTCCAAACGGGCAAACCAGGAACGTCGAAATGGAGTCTAAACATTTTGTTAATGGCAAAGCATGTGCCCGGGCAATGTGTAACGGTTCAAGGTGCGAGACCAATTTGTCCATGTAGAGTTTGAAAGCTTCAAATTTTAGGTGTTTGAACAACCCTTGCCCACCCCCTTTTTCCAACTCCAGCCCTAGGTTCAATTGTCACACTGCACCTTTGGCGCCTTTCCGTACACGCCTCCACCAAACCGGAGCAACAACTGGAGGATCAAACCTAGCGCCCTCCGAACGCAGGTCTAGTCTTTTTGCCCAGCCTTTTTGGCGTTCTAGGGACCAACGCGCATTAACATGGCCCGGCACCAGGCCAAGACCATAACAGCCATCTGGGCGAAGCCCAATCCCGTTCAGCCACGTCAGCCCCTCAAGTTGGCTTCTACCTCGGAGCAAAATGGAGTTCTGACCGTGAACATGGCTCATGGGGATGACTGGGGGTCTCAAGACACATCCAAGAACAGTTGCGACAACCACCATTGAAACACAAATCCAGACAGATTGGCCCTCACACGCTGGCTGAGCCCAGAACGCCTACACCGTCCCACTTCTGTACACCCTTGGGCGTCCTTAACATGCGGACTGCGACTAAAGGAGAAAAATGCAAGAACACACGCATGCTTAGGAGGGAAGTGGCCGTAGCTGATACCTCAGGGCTGCGACCGAACTGTAAGGTGGCTAGCTTTCGCTCAAACGGCTGAAATCCCCTTGGGCAGGGTTTGGTGGCAGGCTCAGCAGCCACGAAGCGCAGGGGCGCCTGGAATAGCCCTGGTCCAATGGAGCTTCATCTGCCCAAGTGGAACAAACAGACTTCCTCAGAGACGGGTTCTCACACTTCTCAAAACGGGTGGAGAAAAAGGGGAAGCCCCTTCCAGTCTTTGCGGAACGAGCGGGCTGGCCGTTTTTTTTTCTTCTTCTTCCGCCATCAGATCTCTCTGCCCCTGGTTCGTTGCATCGGCGGCCGCTCGGATACCTTGAGCGATGCCCAATCGCCTCTTCCAGCGGAGGTCTCCCACCACAATCCTCGGCCAGCTGTGTGCAGAAGGTGTTGGAAACATATCTTGGTTGACGTTGGAAGGGGAGCAAAAAATTAAATTTTAGCAGTTAAGTGGGGATTTCCCACTAAACCATAAGAAGCAAAAATGTAAAATGTTTCCCAACGACAACCATGATATCCTCCCGAACGAGGGGGTTAAACAAGGTGTGGGCATGTTGCGCGCAGGACTCCATTCATACGGGCAAAGCAAAGGCCTTTTTTGCTCAGGAATGCCGACTAGATTAATCCGCTTGAAGGACGTGCAGGTTCAGACATGTACGCGCAGCACACCCACACCCACACACAGCAGGTACATCACATGATCGCCATACAACCACCATCCAAAACACTCCTCCATTCAATTTATTCGAGTTGAGCGCTGCAGGGTTCATTAGTTTCTGGGTGCCTGCGATGCTATGTGAGCATATTAAGCTCGGTCCAGAACAACTTCAGCTGTGCATTCGATTGTTTTCAGCAAGGAGCGCCTGTCAAGGTTTCCCAGGAAATGGATGCAATTTAAGCGCTGCCTAGAATGTGTTCTGCTTCTTCGTGTCGCCCTACGCAGCCTTACAGGTGTTGGCTTGCGCGGCACATGTGCTTCGAGTACACCTTACACAAGCCTTGCAATACCACGCGCCACTTACGCGACGCTTCAAGCGTAGTGCAGCTCTGGCTCGGAAATCGCACCTTTCAGTACGAGTGTGCTACACCAAGTATGTGAAGAGGCAAAGGCTACCACTCCGAAACGTAGCCACATTTATCACAAGCAGCCTTGCACGAGCATTGCCTGTCCAATGCAGGCACTATGCAAACTACATGGCTGGCTGCCGAATCTAAGAGCATCTTCACAACGGCCTGCTGCAAAGGACACCCTTGTTCTCCAACCTGTTCCACGAAACAGTCTAGCCGTCTAGCCTAATCAAAGCACTGCAGAATGCAGAGACATGAATAACTTTCGTTACCTAAACATGCACACCGAGATTTTGGACTCTGTGCATGTAACCCACGGCGCCGTCCCAAGAGGACTGCATTGTCAGGGGTGCTTGGTATCCCTCCAGCCCCGAGGCCTGCAAGGAAGGCACTGGATGGGGGGGAAACTGTTGCAGCCCTCCCTTTCCCACCATAAGTGCGCATATTCGCCAGAACAAACATTCCTACCTGACCATTTAAAGCATGAACATCACCAGTGAAACGTCCAACAGATCCGCCGCCAATAACCAACCAATCAACCAATCAACCAACCAACCAAATCAATCAATCAATCAACCCACCCACTCACCCACCCACCCACCAACGACACCTCCAGTCCGGGTGTCTCTTGGCCACCTCCGGCACTTCGCCTCCGTCGTCGCCCGGCCGGTGGAGCACCAAGAGCCGGGCGTCCAGGAAGCCCAACTTCAGCTCCCGCCGCGCGTGGCACCGCCAGGCGTGTGGCTCCGCGCCCGGGCAGCGGCCCTGAGCAGCTAAATGCAACAACATGCGCGCACACCAAACAAACAAACAAGCAAACAAACAAACAAACACTCGATCACTCAATCACTCAATCACTCAATCAATCAATCAAATCAAATCAAATCAAATCCAATCCAATCCAATCCAATCCAATCCAATCAATCAATCAATCAATCAATCAATCAACAAAAAAAAGCAAAACAACACGCAAGCAAGCAAGCAAGCAAGCAAGCAAGCAAGCAAGCAAGCAAGCAAGCAAGCAAGCAAGCAAGCAAGCAAGCAAGCAAGCAAGCAAGCAAGCAAGCAAGCAAGCAAACAAACAAACAAACAAACAAAACAAACACATAGATAAACATGGACATGCACAGCCGAAGGCAAAGGGACAGCGTCCAATTCAGACCAAACACAAAGAAACACGGAGACACATACACCATCTGAATTTCACGCGCGCACACGCACACACACACACACACACACACACATGTGAACGCGAATGCGTTCAGCAAACGCGCACTCAAGCACGCAACGATGCATACAAACACTCACACACACACATGATTAAGACATACGGGCACAAATGCACAGAACTAGCATGACCAACAAACACACGCTCCCTCACACGCACACCAACACACACACACAAACACACAAACAAAAAAGCACCCACACACACACACAAACAAACAAACAAACAAACACACACACACACACACACTCACACACACACACACATGCACACACTCAATCACTCGCACACGCACGCACGCAACACGCACGCACGCACGCACGCACGCACGCACGCACGCACGCGGGAATACATCATAAAGCGAACACACACACACACACACACCTACACAAGTAACAACGCACAAACACTGCCAAACACCACTTTTTAATCACACACCCACACTCACACACACAAGTACACAAACAAACATGCCAGCACATACACACACTTGGGAAATGATGCGCACACTCAAACGACCAAAGTGCTAAACCACAAACAAAAGCAAACAACAAGCCAAACCACACCAAACCAACTCAAACCATCAAACCAACAAAGCAACCAACCAACCAACCAACCAACTAACCAACCAAGCAAGCACGCAAGCAAACACGCACACACACACACACAGTCACAGCACGAAGCATTCACACACACAAGCGCAAACACACGCGCGACCACACCCACACAGCCGAGCCCACACACACACACACGAACTTACGAGAACACGCAGGCACAACTGGACACATACAAACTCAGAAGAACGCAACAAAAACAACGCAAAAAAAATATCAAAAGCTAACAAGGAAACAAGCAAACAAACACCTCCGTGATTGCGGACTTACGAACCACCGCCCGCGCACAGACTTATTCAGATTTTCAAAAGCCCTGAGGTTTGAAGCGCAACTGCCTCGTGTCACACACAACCAGATTCACGAGCTTAAACTTAGAACCAGCGCCAACAGGTTGGAGCGCGGATAAGAAATCAGCCAAACACAAAAAAAACACGCGGAAACGCCAAGACAACATACTTTCCAACAGTTCTACGCACCAGTTTGTTCCCAATCCACCATTCTCCGGCGGCACCGCACCTCTTGTACTTGAAAGCCGGCAGCCGCTAGGACGTAGGGCTCTTGCTCCAAGGAGGAGATCAGCACCAAACGTCCCTTCCGGGCATCCACCACGCGGTGAAACTCCCGAAAGATCGCCTGGCGGATTGCGGAGTGCGCCCGTGGGCCTGGAACTCGGAAAGGGTTTGGAAGCCGGATTGAGGCTCCCTCTCAGGTGGAGGGACGCCTTTTGGGTAATGTGCCGATTTGAAGGGAGCTAGTGGTGGGTTCTGCGCTACCGACGGAAGGCGGAAGCACTTCATATGAAAACTGCAGCCAAGGGCCCTTTTGCGGGGCTGCTGCTTCTGCTGCCAGCCTGACTTTTGTCGGACGGCGGGTTGCCTGGCAGCCCTTGCTGTTTTGTGCGTGCTTCACGTTCATGGGCAGCAACTTCACCCTCACTATCAACTGCATACGGGAACTGCCAAATTCAACAGAAATGTGACCGTGTGACCCATGAACGGATCCAACTGGGCACCTTGTACAACGACTCCCTGCAGCCCTCGATGGTGCCGTACTGCCGGCCAAAGGGGATGTCACAAATGAGCACCTGGCCAGCCGGAAAGCCGTGATCCGTCCTTCTTCTGTCTGTTGGTCCGTCGGTCTCTCTTCATCTTTCTGCCTGGCTGCCTGGCAAGGCCGCCTTTCAACCTACATGTTGTCATGCAATCTAAGCTCATCTTGTTTCAGCTAACCTCACCTACTCGTCTACCTGCCCATCCGTCAATCGATCTATGTGTCTACCTGCCAATGTTATCTATCTAGCTTGCCATCTGTTTGCTCGTTCTTTCTATCTGTTCTCTATCTGTCCGTCTTTCGATCCATCTGTCCAGCGATCCATCCATCTATTCGTCCATGCATTCATCTATTCGCCAGCGAGTTCTTCCCCACCTGTCTTCACAGCTTGCCCTCTACTGTCTATCCATCCATTTGCCTGTGCACCATTTTCCGTGCATCTCTCTATCCAATCTGTCTACATCCATCAATCCAGATATGTTTTTCTCAGCCGGTTTGCTCATCTGTCTGTTTTGCTTCACAGCTAGCTACTATCTATCTCTCACCCTGTCCATGAGCTTTCCAAAGCAAGCCGGTTGCACGACAGGGCTCACAAACATGACTCCCGAGAAGCAAAACAACTAATAACGACCACCCCTGAAACGCAAACCATAATGGCTAACATGCAACCTTCCAAAAAACTGTCCTGCGCTGCAAAATGGAACGCACAAGTTCAAAAGCCATAATATGTTTGTATGCGTCGGCCAGGCAGAGGCAAATAACAACTACATGTTGCGCATCATACAAGTCACACATCCTTAGCCTTCCCAAGTGGCACGGCAACCTGTTCCACCTGCGGGCGCCGGCGAAGTGAACACACGGACACATCTGGCGAACACGTGCTGACCCCCAGCCCGCCTTATCGCGGGAACCCTTCTGCTAAAAATATTCTGGCAAAAAAAAGACCCACAAAAGCAACACCCCCTCTGCTAAGACTCTGCTACACATTCGGGCAACACAAGAATTACAATGAAAAGAACAACCCCCCCTTCCTCTAAAATCAACTGCCACCACTTTCGCCCCTCAAGCTTGGGCCATGGCATCTACAGCTCCGTCCGCCAGCGGCAAACGCGCCGCATCGCCGTGGAGCAACTCCACGCGACCCGCGCCGGCGAGGTGCGTGGCGCTGTGGGCGGCCAAGAGCCTTCAATCGGACCCGACTGTCTGCCAGCTGTTCGCTGGCTGAAAGGGAACAAGGCTCAAGAAGAAAATTGCAAGTAGGTTTTTTGGGGCTTTCCTTCAGATTCAATGTGAGAAAGGGTAAACTCCCACTGATATGCCAAACGCCTGGCTGGTCCCCGGTCGCCTTTCCTGATTGCTTTCATTAAAGTAGCAACTAGAAGGGGGTCCACGCATGTTGCGGGTTGAAAAGGGGGACACTGGCTACAACTAGTTGAGACAAAAGTGTCAAAGTTACGACATATTGCCTGCAACACGTTTTGCTGATGACATTGAAAACTAAAGAGCCACCTTACGTTGTTTTGAGTTTTGTTCAGACATTTCCCCTTTCAACCATTGTTGCCGGGCTTCACTGATGTTCGTTTGTTGTTTAAAACACCGAAAAGGGCGCAGCTATTCAAGGTGAAAAATCTGTAGATGAACCCCAGTTTCGGCTCCGTATTTCTTTGTAGGGGACTTGGTTGCTTCAATGACCTCCGCAAGAAGTTGTTTTCACTTTTTGTGGGCCCAACCCGGAAAATCCGACCTGTTTCAACCAAAAGGTTGAAGTCCAAAAATCCGCAACCGAGTAGCCCCTATGTCCCAAGCAAAAGCAGAAGGAACACGACTTGCTGGTGCGATAGGGACCCCGCAATGGTTTTCCTTTCAGTTGCAAATCCCGAAACAGTTCATTCCAGGGATTCCAACTTAAAGTAAAAAAACCGCCAGTTGGACGTCCCGCTTTTCCCGGGCTTCCATTTCACAATCCCCGCGTATCGATGACACCAAGAGAGGACGGACTTCGAGCCATGGCGCTGGGCGTTTTGGGCGGCGCCCACCAGCTGCGCCGCGTCCAGGTCGCAGCCCAGGAAGTGGCACTGGGGCCAACTGACAGCGGCCTCCACCAAAATCACCGCCTGGCCACTGGCCGAATAGCTTGACTGGCCCATACTGTGGATGGTTGCGAAATCCAGAAATCGCACCACTTTGAAACCATGGTTGAAACCACTTTTTTTGGTTGGTAGTTACAGGGGAATCATCATTCCAGGGTTTCTTAGGTGGTGCAGGATTTCGTTCATCCACAGTAGGTTGCCTTTTGGAAAAAAATAGATGGGGTCCCTGGTAAATGGCCCTGAAACCAACCATCTAAACCAGTTGAATCGCCCTCTATTTCTGAAGCAAACCAACCAAAAAGGACTCCAAAACGATTGGCCCCGAATAGACCTTTTAGTCGCCAGGGGCCTTTCAAGGCGACTGGAAATGGTCCCCCACTAAAAACCATTGGCCCCGAATGGACCTTGATAGTTGCTAGCCCCTATTACTGGGGAACTGGCCATGGGAACACGGAATCATCTGGTGAAGTTGTGCCCTATCCCAACTACCCTCCGGCTGTTCAATGATGTGGGGAAGCAAGGGCTTTCGGTTGCCACTGTCTGTGATACTTGGGCTAAGGGAACCGGTTTTAAGTTGTAAAGCAGCCGTGCAGATGGCCCATGTTAGTGCCACAAAACGGTTCATGTGTTTTTGGCAAACCTTTCTGGAGACTTGTAGAAGCAAAACACGCTTTAGGATTGCTGGGATTGTGTGCTGTTAGGGTGTTGCTGCTTTTTGTGATTGTTTAATTAGGTTTGCTTTGGACAATTGCATGCTCAGTATGGCTCGTTTTGATTGAGTGTTGTTGGGAAGGAGGACTCATGGCCCAACCGCAATGACCTATTCCTATCCGACAAGTAATCCCTCGCATTCTCGCTTTGTGGGTATGAGGGAAATCATATGTGGATGGGGTGTCACGTATCTCTGGCAGTCCTTGTTGGTTGGATAAGGCTAGGATATGCTTGGCAAAGCGCGGTTGCCATGCAATTTTCTGCCAGGAACGGGAAAGAGACTTGCCTCAAATTGCACAAAGATTCTATATGCAAGGAGCATGGAGCTAGTTGAAAGCACCTAACATGGCCCGATTTGGTAAGTGCCGTTGTCTTGCAGGGCTTGTAGACCTCTACCCATAATAAGATTTCCCATGGGAAGATGTCTGCTGATAGAAAATAGATAATGAGAATGGATGTGGAATCATAGCTCCTGAAGATGTCATGCTTCTCTTTCTTCTCCAATACAAACATCTTAATGTCACGTGAGTCTTAGATGGAAAGGTATTCAATCATTTTCTTGCACATCTTTCACCCATCTATTACCTTTCTGTTTCTTTGGCTTAATGCGATTTCTTGTTGATCATGAAACTATGTTGCTTTTAGAAATCTTACTAATCCAATTAGAAAGCGCCCTGCAGGTCCAACCCAACAGGCACCATCTTTCCCTCCCGCACCCTTATCCCCTTTTTCATTGGTGGGTTTCCCACTGAAAGTATCCAACCGCAAAAAGGGCTTCCCTTTTCCTGAGCCACAATCAAAGCTATGTAGATCAAGGTTAGTAAGGGACAATGCCAACCATCCCACCAGATAGACTGGCTTACCACTGTTGAAGATACACGGCACCCTCTTCGTACAGGGCTTGATCTGTAGCGTAAGTTTTGGGTATACTCTTCTTGTGCCATGTTTTAACTATGAGTCAGCTGTTCGGTGGATTCCAGCCTTATCTCTTTTTTGCGTGTTGTATAACTCCCTAAATGTCGGATATCAACATTCTGAATCCCGAACATATGTCTACTCCCTGGAAGAGTCAGGTTTTCAGAGATGGTCCTTTGTGCATTCATTTTCAAGTCTGGCTTTCTTGAAACAGGATCACAATGTTGACCCCATATTAGTCAACCCTAGTTGATTAATAAGGGGGGTGTCCCTGGGATTAGTGGGGAATCAACCACTTTTGGAGGGGCCCCCAGCCCTATACGAATACACAGGGGTTGATTAATATGGAGTCACAGTTGGAACCAACCCAGAACCAGCCATACACCAAGCCCAAAACCAACCGCAAGTGCCCCCTCGCACCAGCAAGTTTTCCATGCCAAAAGTTGACACCAGGTTGATTCCACACGAAATCTGAGTGAATTATAATATTTCACCAACCTGAAACTTGCGGTGGTTGGTATATTCCCCACATAAACCACCACTTGGTGTGAGGTCGCGTGAGGTCCCTATACTTCACCCCGAGAAATCCGAGTTCCTTCCCGCGAGCCTTGCCGCACATGGGGTCCAGCACCCGGTCCCCAACCTGCAGCTCCGCGCTGCGCGCCATGGCCCAGGCCACCGGCGCGCTCATCCCGGCGCAGCAAATTTCGGAGCCGCCGGACTTCAGCGCCGCTTGGAAGAGCAGCGGAAGGTCCTCGCTCGTGGGCGGGTGGGTGGTTGGTGGGTGGTGGGTGGGTGGGTGGGTGGGTGGGTGGGTGGGTGGGTGGGAAAGGGGCAAAAGTCGGGCAACCCCGTGGCGACGGCTGACTGGACCGGCTATTTCTTGTTGGAACCAAAATTGTGGGTACCCTCACATGGTACCGCAGAGATGGGGAACTTGTAATTTTGCGGCCAGCACTTGTGGCTTTTCCTCGGGGACTCTCTTCCGGGGGCCTCACGCGCTCAGATTCCCTTGCGCCTGCCAGCGTTTTAGCACCCGCACCTGATATCGAACGGTCTGCCCTTAGAACATCGGCAACCCTTCACCGACGCGCGCAACTGCGCAGGGTGCGGCTTTTAGACGGGTCGCTATGTGCATTTTTTGGGACTATCCTGGGGTCAGTCAGAAGTTAGAAGGTGACAAGTGAAGCTCTCCACAGCCTAAAGTGAGGGTTTGAGGGCAAATTAAACCCCAAAACCAAACCCTAAGGAGGGGTTTGAGGGCAAGTTAAACCCCAAGACTAAACCCTAAACGGGTGGTCGGAGGGCAAGAAAACCCTTAAACCTGAACCCAAAACCTGAACCCTAAAGTGAAGGTCTGAGGGCAAGTTAAACCCCAAGAGACGGCTGGTTTGAGGGCAAGAACGCCCGTAAACCTGAACCCTAAACCTGAGCCTTAAAGTGGGGGTCCTAAACGGCTGGTCTGAGGGCAAGCAAGTTGAACCCCAAAACCAAACCCTGAACCCTAAACGGGCGGTTTGAGGGCAAGATAAACCTGAACCGGCAAGTAAAACCTAAAACCTGAGCAAGTTAAACCCAAAACTAAACCCTAAACGGGAAGAATTGAGGGCAAGTGAAACCCAAAACCTGAACCCTAAAGTGAGGGTTTGAGGGCAAGTTGCACCCAAAACTAAACCCTAAACGGAGGGGTTTTGAGGGCAAGTACAGTAAAGCCCTAAACCTGAACCCTAAATGGGGCAAGTTAAGCCAAAGGCCGGAAAAAGACCAGAAAGTGCAGCAAGGTGGTTCTGGGCGAACCGCACGTGCTGCGGGTAATTTTGCTCTTTGGGTTTCAGCACCAGGGTCTGGTTGTTCGTAATTATTGCAAACTTGGAGCCCTCAAAACCCATTTCTTCGCACAGGAAGAGTTGCAACCAGTGGCCTTTCCGCGGCCACTTGATCACTCAAATGGGGCTTTCCCGAAGTGCATGACCGAAGTGCATGACCAATGACAGCGCTGAAACAATGCACCCCCAGGGAGAAACGTATCCCCAGGGAGAAACGGAACCTGTTAGTGGGTTTGGGCGGGACACATGGCACAAGCAAATTTTGACAGTGCTTCTTCATTGCTTGATGCGGCATAAAGAAAATGCGCTCTCGTCAAGAAATCTCATCAACATATCATGCCCATCGCTACTCGGCTTGCAGGGATCTTCTGACAAACGCGCCATCCTTGTAGCTAAGTTGCCCGTCGTTTGTGCAGATGGGAGGGGGGGGGACAGAATCAACTTATTGCCGCATGTTTGAATTCCCATGAGTCCCCTAAACAAGCCAACGATGCGTGGCGCATTAGGTACCCCTGCCCCTCCCGACGCATGAGACTTTCCCAGCTTCCGACCCCCAGCTTCCGACCTAAGCTTCTGCTTGGCCGAGGGTCCACCAGAAGGTCAGAATCGCTGACCAAGATCCGCACCTGGAGATGCGGAAGCAAGTGGCCCATGCTGCGAGATGCCCGGATCGACAGGAAGTGCAAACTTGGCCAGGCCAGCCCCTCCCCCAAAAAAAGTGACACTGCGCGTCGCGAGGCCGGCTGCCAAGTTCAACATGATCCTGTGTAAACAATGCGAAAGCTGCGGCACCTCTTCGACGGGCGGCAAGTTGTGTCAGCCGGAAAAAGGACCGCGCGTTTTTGGTTTTTCCCCCGGATCGCGAGGCACGCGCGCAACATGTTGACAGCTGAGTTCACCAGCCACAACCAGAACGGGAGGGGGGAAGATTGTATTACTGCGTCTAAGTGCTTGGCAGCAAAACTCTATCTACCAGTGGAAAGATCAAAGTCAGGAAAAATGAGTGCACGCACCTGCAGCCCCTTCCACACATGGTGCAACGAGCCACACCATGCTACCGTTGCGTTGGTCGCATGCTGAAGTGCTGAATCGCGCATAGTTGGTGTGCCAAACTGTGCCCCCAACCCAGGGCTAGCCATAGCTCTTGCACAATCCCCCTCTACCTTCGCACTTGGGGATCTTCCACCAGTTTTGAAGATTCCCAACTTGAGGGTCAGAAACGGGGCTTTAAACATGGGATCTTGCAAAAAAAAAGTATCCGTTGCCGGTTGGCTGCCGTGAGGGAAACCAACGTAGTGTCAGGGAATCTGGTTCGTCTCCAACCCGCAAAATGGCAAGGGTGTCCTTTTGGTTTCCCTTCAAACCAACTGAAAGGTGGCCCCCCCCCAAAAAAAAAGAAGCAGACCCATATATGTCTAGAAGAAGGATGCCATATTTTTTTGGGGGCTGCTCCCATTTAATGAGACACACCAATATCTAGACCCCACCCATTCCTTCAATTCCACGCCTCCAGGTCAGGGCGCCGCACCTGTGGCCGCCAGCCGAGGGCAGCCTGGCTAGGCTTTCCATCTCTGGGAAGCTTCCATGTCCATTCCTTCCAGGGATGCTTCCTTTCAGAAAAATGCCAAACCCAAAGCAAACAGCTGGTTGAAAAGAACGGTGCTTGAACAGAATGGGGAATCTCCACAGAGAAATTGGGTGCAATGCCAACAGAATTGGGGCCAGGCCCTTACTCAATTGGAAATTGAGGAATGCACGGAATTGTCCGTTTGGTTTCCCTCACCAAAACCTGCCTGAGCATGGGCGTGTCTGCAAAGGGTACCCATTTGGTGGATTGAACCCGAAACCGCGCCATGGATTCTTGCCTGCAGGCGCGCGGCCGCCGCCACCGCCAGGTTTTGCGAGGAGAGCGCCGCGAAGCGCGAGCCGGAGCGGCGGCAGGTGATCTTGAAGCTCAGCGCGCCTCGCTGGGCGCCGAGCGCGACGCTGGCCGCGGGTGATCTGAACAGTTACCCTCCCTCCCACGGTGCCATTTTGCAACTGACAGGGACCCGGTCCCTTCAAGAGGAATTCATCATCTTCCAGGTACCTCCCCACAGATGCCATGTTAGTTGGAGGAAGGGTATCTCAATGGACAAAACATACACTAACAAACAGGGGGGTCGTTTTGCCACCTTGGAAAAATGATCCACCCCCTTGTAGCGAAGGATTCCGTTTTGAGGGGGTCGCCATTTTTTCACAAAAGGTGGCAAAAAGACCCCCCCTGCCAACAAGTTCCATAAGGTTCTGCATATGGATTTTGTGTGCTGGCTTGAATGACCACATCCCAAACCGCAAAGAAATATGGCCGTGGCTCAAAAAACCGGAATTCCAACATGGCTTGCCCCGGTAAGTGGGAAACATGGGTACCAAAACCTGCGGTGTGCCCCTCCTATTTGATTTTGAGCCACACCCATATGACACGTTTTCGGACCAACGGGCCTTCGCTGTCATCGGATTTTGGGCTTTGCCTTCCAGAGGCCTGGTACCTTGGAACCTCGCTGGCCAACGCAGGTGTGTCTTATGCCGGGGACACCGTTTGACCGGCCAAAAGGGGGCTCCCAAAAACAGGAGTGGCCTTGGTCCCCAAGTGATGCTGGTGGGATCTGGTCATTGATGTTAGCTTGGTATTTTGCCTGGCTCCGCTGAATCCGGAATGGATGTCTTCCTCCGTAATTCTTGCCTGAAGGCTTTCAGGGCGGCATTGCTTGCAATTTGTGCACATTTGTCCAGAGCTGTCTTTCTGACCAAGGCAGATATGCAGTGTATAACAAAAAACACCGCAGGGTTGCTAAATCCAATCGCAGGCATTGCCTGGCGCTCGTGGCTGACTCTCTGGCAATACATAGGGACACAAAGCAGCTGGTGCAGCAAGCTTAGGCAAGCCAGGCCCAACAATAACACAACAGAATGCGGCGTTTCGTTTCTCGTGCAAATTGCCCGTGGAATCCTACAATGTACCCAAAAGTGTCCATACCGCCCGCACTTACTGAAGGCCCTCATCTTGCCTTTAGGGAGTCAAACACAACGCAATCAAACAGGAGATCCGAAGTGTTCCGTGGTCCCTGCGCCTGCATAACTTGGCGATACCACTGCAAAGAACAGACTGAAGAACTGGCCGAGCCATGTCTAGACCACCTTGTTCAAGGGAAAAAGGAACCATTCCAGCGGATGGTGCATGAATGCCCCTTTCGCTTACAACGCAAACATCACAAGGGACCCAGAATGACGCGTTTCTGACATTCCAGGTTCCAGCACCAATTGAAGGCATGGCAGTTGGACAGTAAGCAAACGGAAGCAGTGAACAAATCGATTGGAGCACAACTGCCAAGTACTTGACGGGCCATTGGATTGCAAATGAAAAGGCAGGCAAAGCAGATGAAGCGCACATTAGATGCAAACAAACGTGCTTGCGTAGGACGGATACTTCGACTGCAAACAAAGCAGCTCGAGCGCGCAAAATAATACCGATACCAAAACGGCTGTGCTTTGCCCTGCCACCCCCACGAAAATCGGTTAGTGACAAGCTCGACGGCACGGCCAAGCAGTCTCAAAATCCGGGAACCCCAAAACGGCTGGTGTCCGTTTGGTTTGCCTTCGGAATCAACCCCACTCAAAAAGGAGACACTCCGAGCTGTCGAAGCGCATCTTGGGCAACAAGCAACACCTCTGATTCATCTGGAGGCGTTAATCTTCGGTGAGCATCTTTGGGTAGTGTGCGTACTTCAGCCGAAATTTCCAAACAAGCATGGGAGGAGCCCCCCAAAAGGAGATCCATCTAAGACAAACGTGAAATCAAGGGTTCTGTGTTCATCTGCCGGAAAGTTGCCACGATCAACTGGCCTCCTGTCAAGAGACGGCAAGGTGACGTCCCGTGGGACGCTGTCCACCGAACCCTCCAGCTGTAATACCAACCACGTAGAAAGGTGTATACGGTCAAACCGTTATAGCCGAACCCGTGCAAATGTTGTAAGGGAGAAGGAATAATAGTTACAACAGTGGTCCTGACAAATGCAGCGCAAGCGAAGTGTTTTCCGCTCTCAATTGCCGATCACGTATGAACGCAGCTACACATAAGATCTTGAACCTCACTTGTGTCTTGAGCCAAATGGCAATCAATGGAACCTTGTAAGCAACACAAACACGGACCTCAGAACTGCTTCCCAATTTAGGCACGGGGCCAGGAGGGTTTTAACATCCCCCATTTGGGTCGCATTGTTCATCATGCGGTCCAAACACCACAAAACGTTCCACTGGCCACGGCTTCAGCTACGAAACTGTGTCGAACACTCTTTCACTCGCTATCGCTACACCGTTCATTCATTGTGAAACCTGCCGGGTTCGATTGAAAATGAAACATGCATCCGCAAATCGTAGCACATTCCCATATGCAGGTGTAATGTATACACTATCGTCACGTCATTTGACAACCACCTAGACAATCCAACGTTCCCCAAAGGACACGTTTTCACACAACCGGCATCGCTGGGCCACGACGATGCGTTCTGCAGATCGTGCGAGCGCGTACGAAGCCGTCGCATCTCACACGAAGAGCGTTGACCGTGCACGGGCGACAGCAAATTATATATTGCGCTGAGAGTTTATCGCGGCGGAAAGAAGCCCCAACGAAAGTGTCGGAAGCGTGCGCGCAAAAGCATAAAAGCGGCAGGCGGCAGCCCAGCAAACCAAAAGCGCGCGTGGGTGCGACAGAATGGCAGCAGACGGGGCCGCCTTCCGCCACACAGACCGCTGCCCTCAGACGGGGTCGCCCTACAGACACCGCGCGCAAGCAAGGGGCAGCGCTCCAGCCGCACCGTGAGCGCGCAAGCGGCAGCGCTGCAGCGCAGTCGGGGCCGCCCCCACTCTTCGGGACATCGCGCCATTTTCTGTGGAACAGGTACAGGGAATAGAGGTCCCTGGATCTATTTCACTCGATGATCCAACATGTCAGTAGTGGATGGAGTGAGTCTGGAAGTCCCCTGATAAAGCTAGCGTGGTTGTTGGCTGTAAGCGGTCCGCAATGCTTCCTGTTTTATATAGCTACTGCGTCACAAGATGGGCCTTGAGCCAAACGGTTGCATGGAGATCAACATAAAAAGCAACCACCCCCCCCCCCCCCACGCGCGGCAGAGACCGTGAGACAAAGGGCGCGCAGGTGGCAGCGCAGCACGACATCGTGGCACCAAACGGTGTCGTTGTTTTCGCGCGTTTCACAAAAATCAGTTTAAGCAAAATGCGAACCAACTGTTCATCATGGGTTTCTAAACACGCACACACACACATATGTGTTTTATTTGCATGGCTTCTTCATATATAATAGTCACATAGTTGTACGATGCGACACACGGAGATATATATGTATGTGTGTAGATATAGATTGTGTGTGACATATATTCTGAAAATGGCGACGTCGGCCAATTGGCACGGCTCCTGTGATTCTCATCCTTTGCCGCCCCCAATTCCTCCCACTTCATTTGTTTCCCAAACTGTCCCTAAAAACACGGCCCATGGCCGGACTTTTCCCATGGGAGTAGGGGGGCCCAACGGATGCCGGTTGGCCTTCTGGTTTCCCTTTTTAAAGAAACTCTGCTGCAGCTGGATGGAGAGAATCGGGTGCCCGGCTTTTCAATCTCAAAGCAAAACAGAAGAGAGCCAAAACAAGCCCGCGCAAACACACACACACACGTACACATACATACGGACGGACCTCTTTTGCAGCGACACCCCGTTTGAGCTGTCTTGCAGCCACATCATGGGCTGCAGCCCCTGCTGGCGCTGTGCGCCGTGTCATCGTGGCCCTTGAGGACACGATGCCCCATAAAAAGAGCAGCAAGTTGCGGACCCACCTTTGGATGTTTTCGTGGTTTTGGAGAATTTCGGGGACTGGCCTGTTGCAAATATATTGGTTTGTGGGGAGGGGTTTTCGTGAGTCCTATGGTCAGGGTACCATCCTCTAGGTTGGGTCATCGCCTGTTCTTCCCGCTCAAATTTTTGAGGAACACCCCAAACGCAAGAAGGTACCGATCAAAGAGCCTCCTCGACATGGTGCGGCCATGGCAATGCCTCGCTATGTACTTGAGTTTGCCCAGAAAGCTTTCGTCGTCCCACGTGTGGAACATTCTCTGATTGATTTTGTACTCTCGAATTTCACATGCAGTGTGCCATAAATAGTGGTGCTTCGGCCTCATTTTGAAGACCAGCAGCCTTTGCTGCTGAAAGTGCAGCGCTAGGAATTGGTAAGATCGAAGGAACAAAAACAAACACCGGCTAGCTTCTGATGACTCGGATGTAGACAAGACCAGCCCGGCGTGGTCCAAAACTTCCACAAACCGCCCCAGTCCAAAGCAACAGGCAGCCATGACCGTCAGCAAGTGGTCCTGCGTTTGGTGAACCCAGCACTAAAAACAACCCCGAAATAAATTTCATGTTCCGAAAGCCAACGAGGGAACAAGCTTCTAAGTGATTCCCCTGAGAGCTTTGTGACACAACAAAAACAATAAGTGTCCTCGCCATCGCTTTCGTCCGTGATGATCTGTGTTTTCTTCGCAAGCCACCAAAGCATAATCTTCACATGGGCAGCCTTGAACTTGGAACCCAGCTCTGCATAGTCTTCGTTGCCCCACGTGTGCAAATTTGCCAGGGTCAGTTTCCGGCGTGGTAGGTACAACCTAGGCAACCCGAACCCGCACTCAACCCGCGAAAACAAGCAACCAAAACAACAAATCCGACCAACCTGTCCAAATAGCCCGTGTTCCCGGCAGCACTGCCTCATTTCCAGCGTGATCTTTTTTAGCACGACGCTTTCATCGTTGCCAAAATCCCGGAAATGGCCTTGAATGAATAATATTCGAAGGACTGAAGCAAAAAATCGCGACCGACTCCTAGATAAACATTGTGGAGCAAGTCCCAGCTGCAAGTTTCCAG